GCTGCCGCTGCAGCCGCCGCCGCCGCAGGGGGCATGGCCCTGGGGCTGCACCCGGCAGCAGCGCAGGGAGGCGCGGGCCTCCCGGCCCAAGCGGCTCTCTACGGCCACCCGGTCTATGGCTACTCAGCGGCAGCGGCCGCTGCGCTGGCAGGTCAGCACCCGGCGCTCTCCTACTCGTACTCACAGGTGCAGGGTGCACACCCCACGCATCCCGCCGACCCCATCAAGCTCAGCGCGGGTACCTTCCAACTGGACCAGTGGTTGCGCGCCTCCACCGCGGGCATGATCCTGCCCAAGATGCCCGACTTTAACTGTGAGTACCCTCGCCCGCGGTTGAACCGGCCTGCCCGAGAGGGAGGGAACAGAGAAGTAATTCTGTCGGGCTAGAGTGGGATCAAAAATTGGGGTTCAGGGACTACCCTGGCATTTGGTTCTCTCGCACATCCTACACATTGCCTCCACCCTGAGCTTCCTCCTCATATCCTTGCTATCTGCTCAGAGCAAGCTGTGGAATGGCTGCGGAGCCATTTCGGCTTTGCCTGGGGCCTGCGAGGAATGTGTGGGTTAAGGGGTATTGGAAACAAAATTATTAAAATGGCCACCCATGCATTGGTCTTAGCTTCCCTTCCACTTTTAACGGGAAAGGGCACACGAAAGTGTAAGACAAAAATATAACAATCAACCTTGCAGGCTGGAAAAGGAAGAGGCAGGGAAAGGAGAATAAAAAATGTCCTGAATTAGGTAAGGACTAAGGATTAGGGTTCATTAAAGTCAATGATTTAATCTCGGGGGAAAGGACATATTCGCATCCCCATTCTGTGACTGTGAAGAGAACACTGGCCTCTCCCAAAGAGAAGAGACCTAGGACAAACCACCAAAAATGGGTTCAGAAAGGCCCAGGACCTGCAAGTCCATCCCTGGCCCCTTGGGGGGGGGGGGCTGCATGTCTTTGGGATCATGCTGTCTTTACAAGAGACAAACGTCCTGGTTTGAACCCAGCGATGCCTTGTTCCTGAGGACATGGAGATGCAACCTTCTGCCCCAAGAATCCCAAACCAAGGACTGAATTACAGGTGTCCACGCCCAAACGGGGGTATCCCAGACCATAAAAAGATGGAAGCAAGGGAGGCATCAGACGGGATCCCAGAATCATTAGACTGCCATTCTTGTCCAACTAGGCCTAGGAAGCCTGAGGCTGTTCAGCATTTCCTAGCAGACACTGGTGCCTCAGGCCCCTGCTCCAGGCGGCAGGATTCTGCCCGTGTCCTCTTACTCTTGAGTCAGGCCAGAATGAGAGGAAGGTGTATAGGGATTTATTTTTTCAGGCGTCCAACACCCAAACAAAATGGTCCTATTGTTTCCATCTGCATGGATTTGTTTAGACTAGGAAGATGTAGGCATGGGAGGGGGTGGAGGAGCAAAACAGAAAACAGAAGTAAACACTTGCCAGAATTCAGATTTCTTTGCTAGGAGCAGCGGTTGTGACTAAACAGAGAAAAGCTTGGACCCCAGAGAGCTGGCGAGATCACAGGGGAGTGATAAAATCCCAGTGTGCACACTATTTACCCACCAGGCACTACCAGGTTTTTACTAGGTCACCTCCAACCTAGGTGGCCACCTCTTAACCATCCCTTACCCCCCAGGAATCAGTCACAAATAGCTATCACCTCTCTGTTTGTAGATTTAGACATTTCTGAGGTTCTGAATCCCGGGTCAGACAAACCCAGGTCCCACTTCTAGACCTGGGGCATTGGTTGTTGTTGTTAAGTGTTGTCCAGTTGGTTGCAACTTATAGAGACCATACCCTATATGGGGTTTCTAAAGAGTCACTTAGGATTTTGAACCAACAACCTTGTGATCCAGTGCTTATCTTACAGCATCCCCACAACCAGAACTTCCTTTATGGATGAAAAGTCTGTTGAGGTGCAGCCTCCCTTCCATAGATTGTCTTCTTTGACCTGCATTCGCCCAACCTGATCCCTGAGGGGGCCAGCAAAGCTCCAAGTTTTCCTTGCCAAATTACCAAGTCCCCATCCTCCCAAAGCAGGGTTCTCGCTCCTGTCATGTGTGGAGCCCAAGGTTGCCCTGAAAGTCGATTAAAGCTAGATCTCGTTGCCAATACACCATCTCTGATTTCTAATCTTGACCTAGAAATGGCCAAATTAAAATGCATTCAGCCTTATGTTTGGAAAAGGACTCTGTATAGCGCAATCATAGAGCAGCATAAATATAAGCAAGGATGGTGGAATTCGTCTAGAGAATCCCTCCAGTTGCTGTTTAGTTCCCTTTAATTTGTTGTCTCTGCCTGTTGATGGCATTTCCCAAATGGCCTCTTCAGAGCCTATGTTTTAATTAAAGTTCTAATGTATTGTCAAGTTGGGAATTCGGAGCCTTGTTTAACTAAAGCGAGAGGCGTGGGCCTTCCAATAAAGCAAATTGTCCGTCCCTAGGGAGCCTGAGCTCATCCTGGCCTAGTCCAGGGCTCTTTTCTTTCCTTTCTTACTTTTATTGTCTAACACTTGTCAGACTCCTGGGAAATCAAGGGAAGTCTCTTTTGAGGTCATAAAATTCTCTGTGATGTAACCGTGCAAAATTATGTAAATAAACCCTGGGAAGCCACCTCAGTCGGTGGCACTGCAAGCCGGATCCACGCCTTCACCTAGGCCTTTAATTTGCGTAATGAGAATTGTTCTAAAAAAAACTGCTACCACTCTGCTACCAATCTCAGAAGCTTTGCCTCTTCATGCCCTGGGGTGCAGGGGTGGGGGTTGGTTGTTAATAAAAATGTTTAAATGTGGGAGGGCCTTTGATTAATATACATATTTAGGAGTGGACTTGGATCTTTTCTTCCTCTTTTTTTTTTTTTTTTTAATTTAAGGAGGTGGGGCTGGGAACTCAGCCCCAAGTCTTCCTTTGGGTGGGAAGAAATAGGAGCTGAGGTTGACTGAGCTGGGGAAGACACCTCCAGGATAAGGGAAGACAGTGGATTCCCCTTGGTCGCGCACTCCTCGGCCTTTCTGCCAAAATTATCCCTATGAATCTCCTGTAGGATGTGTTGAATCAGGACATCCAAGCTCTGTTCCAACCAAGAGGATTTTCTCCCATCAATACCAAACTGGTTCAATTTTGGGGCCTTAGTCCTGAGATCCAGGGACGTGTTTGGTGTAGCTGTCCCTTCTCCTTGGGGAGAAGGAGAGCTGCCTGAGGGAATCCGGGATCCAGAGGGCTAGGTGGGAAGTAGCCATGGACATTCTCCTCCCACTCCCCCCCAACTTGTAGTGATACAGTAGGGTAGGAGCAGGGTCCTGGGGCCTTGTGGGTTGGCGAGTATACTTCATGTTGTTATGCCATCCTTTCCCTGCCCGCCCTGTAGCCCAGGCGCAGTCAAACTTGCTCGGAAAGTGCCGACGGCCACGCACAGCCTTTACCAGCCAGCAGCTGCTGGAGCTGGAGCACCAGTTCAAACTCAACAAATACCTGTCACGTCCCAAGCGATTTGAGGTCGCCACTTCGCTCATGCTCACTGAGACCCAGGTATGCTGCCTTCCCTTCCCCGGCTATAACCAAACTCATTCTTGGCTCCCTCTGGAGTGAGCAAAGCATTCGGGTCACCCTCAGAGCCTCTTGGGTGTTTAGTGTTGTGGCTCTTGTCAGTTACGATGTGGAATAATCCTGTGAGCAGGAGTTCAGATCCCTGGTGCCCCGAAGTCTGCATTTGGTAGCTTTAGGATCTGTATTTTAACAAGTCTTCCCCAATTCTGATGCAGGTGTTCCCCAAACCACATTTGAGAAATGCTGTCACAAAAGAGAAGGGGAACATCTGATATTTACAGATAGATTCACCCTTAATGACCTGTCTTTACAGAGGAAAGTCGCGGTTAGAAAAGGAACTAGGTCCCAGTTATTAGGAAGTGGTCAGAGCCTTTATTTGAACCATACTGATAAGAAGTGGTTGTGGTGGACTTCTCTTTTGAAAGCTAGGAGCCTTCTCTCCTTCTGTCATTTCTTGGTTCTTTTAAGGCTGAACCTCATTTGGGGGGTGGGGTTGGGAGTATAGGGGGGTGGGTGCTGCCCAGCAGGGACTCAGGGATGCACATAACCAGGGAATGATTCAGGAAAAAGAAAAACCAATAGGATCTGGATGGCCAATTCCTCACACCAGGATAACTTATTTATCCTGCAGGTGAAAATCTGGTTCCAGAACCGGCGGATGAAATGGAAACGGAGCAAAAAGGCCAAAGAGCAGGCTGCGCAGGAGGCAGAGAAGCAGAAGGGTGGGAGTGCAGGAAAGGGAGGCAGCGGTGCGGAAGAGAAGGAGGACGCAGAGCTGTTGGGGCCTCCAGCCTCTGGGGAAAAAGGCAGCGGACGCCGCCTGCGGGACTTAAGGGACAGTGACCCTGAGGATGAGGAAGATGAAGATGAGGACCATTTCCCCTACAGCAATGGCACCAACACAAATGCCCCCTCCTCCGATTGCTCCTCTGAGGATGACTCACCACACACGCGGCCAGGTGGCCCTGGGTACCAGCCCCCACCACAATAGGAGACCCTTGCACTAGCAGGGACCTAGGGTGTCCTCAGGAGGCTCCGCATGACCCCCATTCCATGGTCTGGGCAGGTGGAAGGGTACAGAGCGTGGCCTACCTGGTGCCCACCACAGCCTGAGCAGACTAGGAGGCCGTCCTTGGGTAGGTTTCGCTCTACAGCCTCCCCCTCCAGCTTTTGACCACCCTGTTCCGCCTCCTTTCTGGTCTTCCGACCCCTTCAAGACCTGCATGCCAGGTCTCTGTGGTCTCTGCCTCGGAACATCAAGTCTGTTGTGGCAGACACAGCATTAGGTTTTGTTGGGCTTTCCATTTTGCCCATACCACCTCGTCTGTTCTCACAGGGACAAAGAGAGGAAGGCCCCGGGGTTCAGACTTGAACTCTTTTTCTTCTTAATTTAATTTGGTTAGTGTTGGCAATGGGGAGGTGTTTGTGAGAGGAACCAACCAATACCAGAAAAAGCCTCCAATCTTCTCCCTGTCAGAGAAGGTGAAAATCTACAGTGTTAAACAACCTTTGAAACTTGAAGCATTCTCTGGAAATGTCATTCTTTCATTAAGTTGGAGGGTGGGGGGGGGAGATTTTGTGCTTATGTATCTTAGGGGAAACACTTTATGTCATGAGTGTTCAAACTGCTGGAAATCTCAAAACTGTACTGTCTTTATTTTTGTATATTGTATTTATATATAAAAAGAAACGTCTACGTATGCATGCTAAATTATTATTTAGCTTCTCCCATCACCAAGGATGGAATGTAAAATAAATGGGTTTTTTACTGGATGGGAGTTTAAATCTTTTGGGGGTGTTTTATGAAAATGAACTTTTACTATTTTCTGTAGAAATGAGGAAGGGATTGTCTTTGACAGAAGCGGGAGAGGCAATGGCTGAAATCAGAATTGGAAATGGGTATCATTTCAGCCAACTGATTTCTCCATAGCTTAGCAGGGCAGATATGGAGAGTTGATAAAAATATCTGAGTATTAGGTGTCAAGTCATGTCCCACAGGACCTAATTTACATCTGCCCTGGAGACACATGGATCTCAGGAGAGTCACTTTGAAGAGTGTTTCATGGGTGCTCTAGCAGTGGACATATATAATTTGAGTATTTTTATAAAATAACCTTCAAATGACTAAACATTATTGGCACTTTTGGTCTGTAGTATTTACGCTTTCTTTCTGGGATACACTGAGTGGTGCTTTCATTCTTTTTCACATCCACCTCACCCCTCTCTTCAGAATCTTCTTTGTGTTGGCTGTGGACAGTTTTCTTGGATCTGTGCGGGCTGGCAGCAGGAAGACTTCATACCCATGCTGCAATGGCTTTGGATTAATAAACCTCTGCATTGTGTCCCATCAATCATTGGGGGGACTGCACTAGGCCTGCTAGCCATGTGTTCTGCACATGCCGAGAACTCAAACCTGCAGTCAGCCTGGGGCTGCAGCTGCTTGGGCAGCCCCTAAACAAGTCTTCTTGGCTCTCAAGACTCAGGCGGCTGTCCCACTCACAGGACAGGCCCTACGGTGACCGGCCCGGCTGCCCCATCTTCCCGCCCTCTCTGGCTGGCTAGCTATCACAGATTTCCTGCATTAGACAACACCAGAGACCAGGTTACACTTTTCTTTTTCCCCTCTTACCATCCTTCCTTGCTTCCTGCTTGGTTCCCAACCTTTCTTCTTTCTTCTTTTTTCTCTTTTACAAGCACCTGGGTTTAAGAAGTAAGCAGCCCCCTCCCCATGGCTCCCCTCTCTGCCATCTCCTCCAGGGTCCCACTGATAAATGAGTTCAGAAGGGCCTGGCGTTTCATTTAGGTGATTACTGCGCGCAGACGAGTTCGGCCACTCCTCTACCTAAGGGGCCCCCGGGTGAGATTAATATCCTTTCTGGCAGCTCATTATCACCCTGGGCTCCTTCCATAAAAACCAATCTCAGCCAAGGCCAGGCGGGTGTGGTGCGCCGCTAGAAGAGAAGTGAGAAACTGAGAAGTGTGTTGGGTGGAGGCGGGAGAGCACCTCAGAGTCCAAAGGTGTCTTTGGGGAACAAGGACTGGTTTTCCAACTGACAGAATCGAAAAGTCCCAAAGAAAGAGGTTTGGGAAAATGAGAGAAAAAGATTATTTTGGGGGGCCTTAAAAACACCTGCAATTCGTGTATAAAAATAGAACAAAACAACCCAAGTGCACTGTCGTGGAGTCCATGTATTCCACTTTTTAATTTCTAGCACATTGAATGAAGTACAGCCTGAAGCTTTCTCTTCTGGCTGGTTTCACATCTGGGGGTTATTTATCCTCTGAGCTTGGGGGCCTAGCCTGGGGATTATCACTCCCCAACAGTGGGCAACTAGAGAAGGGTCTGTACCTGGAAAGTGGGTGTATATCCGGCCTGGGTTATTTGGAACATGGAAGGGGTTTCGTGGAGTGCCTCAGGCCTCAGCGGAGGTTCTGTCCCTACAAATCAAGGAACAGACCCTCTTTCTTAGTGTTTCTGGACTCAGTAACTGAGTCTCTGCGTCTGGGACAAAGAGAGAACGCTATATATATGTACATATATATATAATTAGGGACACCCCTCCCCAAATCCTCAAGCAAAGCCAGACAGACTAGCTCTGGCACGGGAGGTGTGTGATTCCTCCAGAGGGCTAGGGGTGAAGGCTGGACCCGTGAGCAGCCCCGGCATCTCCAGCCAGCTGCTTAATCGCAGTGGAATTTATCTCGCTAATAAATTTAATGATCAATTCGTACTTGTCACAGTAGCTCTTCCCCAAATCAATTATAGCAAATTTAAATATAATCACTGGCTCATCCTCACCCACTCCGGGCACAGTGAACAATTCATTCCGGCTAATGAATGGTTGTGAGGCCTGCTTAGCTTCGACTCCCATTGAGTGCTCCCGACTCTGAAGAGGCGACACTTCTGAATGCTGCTTCCGCTCAGCCTCAGGGTGGGGGCACAGCATCCAGGATCCGGCCTCCGAAGCGGCACCCGAACCGCAGTCAGGGGATGAAACGGCTTTTCAACCAAAAGGGTCTAATTTCCAGGACTCTCAAACCAGATCTCAGCAGTCAGTGCCCAGGGGGGAACTAAACTATTTTCCCCAAGGCGCACACCCAGGCTTCTTCCTCCAGAAATGAACATGGCTCTCTAGATGTGCCTAATCTGTTATTGAGGGCTAGTTTATTTTATCTTCTTAAACTGGAGCAAAGGTGCGAGATGCCGAGGCGGATCAGCCCAAACCTGATCCATAGCCCTCTGGGATCCCTGGCTGTCTCCCCCATCCTTGGCCCAGAGGCCGCCTTCTTGGTGACTTGCCTTTCCTCAGCTCTAACTAGTCATTCTCCTTTGCCCTTCTCCAAAAATGGCAACTCCCCAGGGGCAAGTGTTGTTAGCGTGTGTTGGGTGCGATTTTGCGTGCGGGGAAATTACGTCTATTAAATTCTTTTTGTAATAGGAGAAAAGCAAGCGGGCGTTTCTTCCAACTCCCAAGGCGATCTGGCCACAGGATCAGAGATTTGATCCAGAGGCCGCTGATTAATGGTTCAGAACCGAATGCGGCTGAGGTGGCTCAGGTGGTTGCTGGTCTCAAAGGGAATCGGCGACGTGTGAAAATGACTAGAACACTTTGCCTTCACCTACCCGGTCCCTGGAGATCTGGTGTGGCGCTGTAGGATAAGCACTTGACCACAAAGTCGATTTGAACCACAAGTTGGAACCGCCTCGATGGCATTTAACAACAGCCACCTGGTCCCTGGTGTGGCACTTGTAGGATAAGAACTAGACTGCTAACCACAGGTCGGCGGCTCAAACACAACAACTGCTCTTTGGAAACCCTATACAGCGTCGCTATGAGTCCTGGCATGGCAATGTGAGACAAACACTCAACTAAAAGGTCTGTTTGAAGCGCATGGTCGGCAGTTCAAATTCACCAGCCACTCCTGGGAAACCCTATACCGGGTAGCTATGAGTCGGAACCGACTGGACGATACTTAACAACAACGCGTTGGAACGAACTCGATGGCATTTAACACCAACAACCTCGTCCCTAGCTTCGAAAGATCTGCTTAAAGGTTTCTTCTTACAAGGAAAACAGTTGATGTAGGAAAGCCAAATAATAGAGAAAGGCAAAGGAAAAAAGCAAAATGCTCCCAAGCTCCTTGGCTGGAAAGCACACCGGTCGACATCTGCATGGGCTCGGTTTCGTTCAATAGGATTGCACCTGGAGGCCCCGGTTCCAAACAAGCTCGGGTTTTCACCCTAGCACCACCCAGATTGCCATGTTAATTGCGTCTCAGGGCCTTCCCTGCCTCTCGGACGTGGAGGGTAGTTAGAAGTTCCTGACCTCCGACCTGAATCCACTCGGGACATTCAGGCCCCACGACTGGACAAGGCGGGATCCACGCTCCCAGGAGTGGAGGCGCGGGAAGGGACACGCACCAGGCCCGGACCACGGATCCCCGTGTCGCCTACAGAACGAAGGAGACTCGGCTGCAGCGAAAAGGTGTGGGCGACAGGGGGAAGGGACTGCGCGCGCGGCTGTCCGCGCTCTTCACCCGCCGGGTATCAAAGTCCTGCGGGTGTATTGTGTCTCTCTCAATAAAACTAATCCCATGAAAGGTGTGACCTCTCACAAGAATGCTGCAGTGTTCCAGATTACAAGGGCAAATATGTTTTTCAGATTTCGGTTTTATGGTCGGATTAAAGTTTATTTTCCATAATAGGGCACCTAATAAAACTCATAAAGATCCAGCTGGTGGCCTCATTTAACACTTTCACTTCATAAATCATTTTACAACTTGCCAGGTGTTTCCAAAACGGGAAGCAAACAAGAAAAAGCTAAATCGCATAAGAACACCTCTACAGTCCTCTCTTTGTAACCACCCAAACAAAACGGTGTGATTACCTTCCCAGGGCTTGGAGGGCGCGGGGAGGGAGGGAGGAGGTGTTCAGGGTCCGAAAGTGCCCGAGGCCCCTTGGGCCTCATCCTTAGCTCGCTCGCCCTGCCT